AGACCAATCTGTTTATATTTTTCACAACCCATTTCTTCGAGAAGTTTTTTGATTAGGTAAAAAACACTTATCATTCTTTTGCGATTAAAATGTTCATTTATTTTAGTAATAGTTTCTTCATCTATTTCCATTAGTTTATTGTATAAACAGTATTCCTCATCATCAGTTAATGATAACCTTTTTGAGATATCTTTTACTTTATTTTCATAATGGTACTTTCTCTGGTAAATACTCTTTCTACGATAATGAAATCGATCGTACTCTTTCATATCATAATATCCAAGAGCATGACCATTAGGTGAATCACATAATTCACACATGTAAAAACCTGACTCAATATAAAAATCATCACACTGACAATTCCAACAAGTAAAAAGATTATTACTTTCTTCTCCCTGTCTTTTAAAGTTATTTAATATTTCTGTATATTCTTCTATTTGCTCTTTTGTGTAAGCCATTTATTTTATTGTTAATTAACTTAAAGTCATTTTTTTTAATTTCATCTAAGAGCTAAAGTGTGTATTTTGTCTTCCATTAGTTGGCGCTTATCATCATTTGAACTTAAAGCAATTTTATTTATTTCCTTTGAGTAAATATCATGGTTTTCACTTCTTATAATTTTCATCGACTTCATCTGTTTTTCACCAGAAAATAAACATCTGATATAATCATCAAATGTTATCCCCTTTTTAACAACATTCTTTTTTATTCCTTTACACTTCTTAACAATTTTATCATCTTCAACCTTAAAACTATAAAGCTTCGAACGAAGACCAACAAAGTGAGTAATCTGACGACCAGCTACTTCATCTTTAAACATCCCAATTACTTTTTTGTTAACTCCTGTTAGTATTCCAGATTTATGATCTGGTGGATAATCGGATGTGTCAAACTTGGTTTCAATATCATGAGATATATCCTTGTAAAAATCATCCGTATGGATAAGGTATAAAAGTGAATCAGTATCTGTAAACAACAACTCAGCCCTGTCATTATACTTATCTCGAATGTAATTGTAATGAAAATCAAACATAAGTGTTTTTCACAGATCCAGTATTGCTTGTCCCACGTAAACTGGTTTGTTAAGGTATACTTCAGTTTTTTTTCATATGAACTGCAACAAGTTTGCGATCAAATATTGTTACTCGATCAAAGTTTGGTTTCGTTGTTAGTTTTACACCTTTTTTACGATCATCAACAAGTATTATATTTTGTCGTTTTCTTATGTTTTCTATTGTTTTTCCAAACACTGAATTATTCATTAGTTTAAAAAAGGCTTTCTCAAAGCTGTTTCCTGCAGTTTTTCTTAGTTCTGTATTCTTTGTAATATAAGGTTTCATCCAAGGGGACTCATAAAATGATATTCCTCTATGGACATCAGTTAGTCTCATTCCCATTTCAAGATATTGTTTGAGATTTCGATAATGTACTACATTTTGGATCTTGGTTTAAAATGACTAATTAGTTTCTCTACTCCGTCAACATTTATCTTTTCTGGAGCAAGAGGATAATCATTATGTGATTTCCATAGTTTATGAGGATAAACCAAATCAACTTCAAATATATATCCTTTATTTTTCTTTGGATGTTCAAGAATATTAATTACAGAGTCGATTGTTAAATCATGCATCCATTTAAACTCATGAGTAGGAAGTGCTTGTGACATTGCCCATCCATAGAGATTGTTGGCATCGAGATATTGAATATAAGTAGAAGGTTTATCAGAATCATAATTAACCATGTATTTGTTATTTGTCACTGCATATCTCTTTGATATGTGAGTTATTCCACCTCGTTTAACACGTTCAAACAACATAAACATGTCATAGTCATGTAATAGTTGAAGTTCTTGTCCTGTTTCTTTGAGACATGCATCCCTTGCCAAACCAGGAGATGTGTAATAATGTGCTGGATCTAGATTGTAATGTTTTAAACAAGTTGCTCGAAAGTTTTCAAATACATCTGATAAAAGTAGTACATCAGTCATTAGGTAAAGATCATGATAATCACAAATAGTTTTACAATTAAATTTATTCCAAACATTAATTGCGTGTTGGTAATCAGCATCAGTTATATCTTCATCATTTAATTTTGAATAAAACTCTTCTTTCGGAGGTAATTGTGTTTCAGAAAGTTTTTCAATTGAAGAAACGTAATCATATGGGTAAACTCCTTTACGAGTTAATAAAGCTAAAAGATTTGGATCTTTAAATACTTCTTTTGTATTAATAAAATCATCTGGTTGTAAATTTCCAACACGATTAGCAAGACTAGTTTGAAGAAACTTAAATGAGTCAATAAATCGTATTTCAAAATAAAGTGAAACTGTTTCTCCAGTGCGTCTTGATTGATACTCACCAACTTTAATTTTTTTGGAAAAGGAAATATATTTTTCTTCTGTTGAAGGAATACAATTAAGATCACCTGGTATTTTAGACAACTGTTTAATAAACAAATGTGCATCATACCCTTGAAGATTGTGAAATATTACTGGAATAATCATTGGCTTTCGACATTGCAGGTTACAACTGTTATGAGCAGCTCCACGGTATTGACCAGTAAAATGACAATGATCTCTAACTCTATCATCATCAAGTTGTTTCTTACAAATATGACATAACTCCGCTTTATGAAATTCTTTTTCTTCTTTTGCTGTTAATCTAAGAGGCATTGATCGACAGTAGTAATCATTGTATAACCTATTTGTTATCCATGCTATTTTAGAAACAAACTTTTCAGGAACATTATCATCTTCGTTTCTTTTAGTATAAATAATAGGTTTAAAATTTATGTTAGGATTTAATCCTTTGATATAGATGCAAAATCCTGATGGTTCATGTTTTTGATAATTATAAGAGTAAGGATTTTCTGGATTTGGGCAACAATTACTCATTGGTTTAGTAAAACATTCAAAATCAGCATAAACAACAAAAGGAATTGGGAATTGTTTGTTGTAATTATTAAAACATAATTTTGTGTTTCTTGGTGGCATTTTAACAGAAACTGTTTCATTGCTTGAACAGTATAAAATATGTTCTTCTAATAATTCATTCTTAGTGTAATGAGTAAAACATTTTTTACAAATAAATACTTCACCATTCTTACTTGAAGTTATTTGCGATCTAAACAAACGATTAAAGTTTTTTATAAAAGAATAATGTGATTTACCATCTTGTTCATATAAAAATAAATCAATTGTATTTTGACAATCTTTTTCCGCCATTCTTAAAGGATAAAACTTGTTGTTATCACTAACTGAAAAAACATTTATGCCTGGAAGAGATGGATTAAGTTTTTCAAATTTGGATAGGTCTTTTAATTTCATTGGAAAATTAATTCCTTTGGTGTTAAGACTATACTCATACTTTTTCAAATCAGTTAATCGTGAATCATTTTTATCTCTTGGATAAATATATCTTAGTATACACCAAAGAAAGCATTTTTCATCTCTGTTTTGAATATTAATTATTGCTCTCTTTTTACTTATCCAATCTGGAAGAGGAACGTAAGATGATCCATTCATTGGATTATATTCAACAGTATGTATTTGAAGACTAACTATTTCTTTAAAATACCATCCACTTCCATTTTTTTGATATTCTTCTAATTTATTTAAAATATTTTTAATAATTAAAGCAAGTAATCTTTTTACATCTGTTGATTCAAGATTGATACGAGTCTCAGAATTAAAATATGATTTATCCTCAACTATTCCAATAACTCCTTTTTTAAATCAATTATTTGTTTTTCCATTAAACAAACTAAAACCAATCTAAACTTAATTTTCCTATTATTTCTTAAAAAGTCTTTTAATTTTTTTAGCATTATTTTTAAAAAATTCCATTGGTGTAAAACCATGTTCACCTTCAGTGACATACTTATTAGCAAAATTTTCTAGAGATGATTTTTCTTTTATAATTCCTTGATCATGTTCATTAATAGCTCTTTCAAGAGCTTTACGAAAGTAAGAAGGAGTATCTGGTGGAATCTTTTTATTTTTTATACATTCCTCAAAATACTCCTCAAATGTTTTAATTTTAATCATCTTCTTTTCTTTCTTTTCTTTTCTTAACCTTTTTGGTTTTTCACTTTCTTTCAAAGGAATATTTTTTTCCATCTTGTCGTTAATTTTTTGTAATTTTTTTATATTTTTAATTATCTGTTGTTTTTTGTTATATTTTTCATAATTTTTTTAAGTCTTTGTTTTTCATACTCTTCCATTAATCTTAAATCGTCATATTCAAGTTTATCGAAAAAATCTTGAACACTTTTATCTTCTTGTTTTAATTTTATTTGATCATAATCAAGATCTTGAATATTATCAAAATCATTATCGTTATCGTTATCATTTGATTGGTAGGCCATAATGTCCCTTAATATAAAGATTTATTCTTTTAAATCAATTTTATATTAAGGGACATTTAAGTCTATAATCAAAAGATTAATTAACAATATAAAACATATCATGAAATCTTCCAATAGTATTTACAAGATTACTCCACCCTGGAAAATCATCATCTACATTTCTAATAGATTCATCAGAACAATTATCTACTAATTCATGAAGTAAATCTAAAAGAGTATTAGAATATTTTATTTCTTCTGCTTTAATTTTTTTATAAGTTGTATATTTTTCTAATTTATTCAAATATTTATTAATAGTGTTTAACCTTTTATAAAATACTCCTTCATCAGCTTGATCAAAGTTTTCAATATAATATTCAAATGCTTTATCAATGCCTATTATGAAAAGATATTCATTTTTATAATCTTTTGCATAATCAGGAATTTTGGGAGGTTTTTTATTTGAGTTGAAATCCTGGACGTTTTGAGTTTCTATTAAATCCTTGTCATTTTGAGTTGAGTTGAAATCCTGTGTGAGTTGAGGCGAGATACCCATTTCCCTTACTACTTTTGAGAAGGAGGGGATTGATGGAAAGATTTTGCTGTCTACAGCTGTACAGAGTATTCGAGCGATGGAACAGTTAGGATTAACCATG